TGAATGCGCGCTGTTTGTCACAAAAATCATGAAGCAAATGATATAAATTGTGAAGTTTAAATTTTTTATAAAAATGTAAAAGAGCTAATGGCTTTTCAAAATATTTCATATTCGGAGGCCAAATTTATTCTTCGGAAACAAAATTATGCTGAAGTAACAAAAATAAATCACTTCAATCCAAACTTCAAAAAAACATTTCCTAGAATTAACGAAGCAGTTAATTATGGAACAAACATGATAAATAAAAATAGGTATGAAGTACTGAGTAATTTTCAAGAACAAGAAATAAATATTGATCAAAGTAGGTTAATGCTGATGAATAAACCTAGAAAAATTATGGAAAGAAGACAAACTAAAAATGGCAGATATATACAAATAAATAACAGGAATTTAAAACAAACAAGTGAAGAGAGAAATTCACAAAGGCGTGAATATTGCGGCAAAAATATAGAAATAGAAGAAATTAGAAAAATACAAATAATCCATGAGGAGTTAGTTAAAAAACTGAGAGAAAAAATAAGGAACAAAGAGTGTGATGATCTAGAGGAAGTTGTGGTAAAATTTAAAAAGGATATGGAAATAATTTACGAGAAGTTTAATAGTGTGGAAGTTAGAAATATTAGTGAACAACAAAATAAAGTTGGTTTTGATAATAATAACATAAGTTGAAATTATTAGAATTAAAAGAAAATTGATAAACGTTTAAACAGTTAAATTCAAATTAAAAATAAATTTATAAATTTCATTATGCATTTTTTACAGTGGAACATTTTAGATCGTTTAATTCTAACAAAGAAAGTTTGGAAATCCTTTTATATCAAAATAAAACCGATGTTATATTTTCATCAGAATCCTGGTTCAAATGGAACCGACGGTACTATTTAAAAAATTACAATATGATCAGAACTGACAGATATGACGGGAAAGGTGGAGCGGCTATAATTATTCATGAAAGAATTAACTATCAGATTGTAAATATAGATATAGGAGAAATAGATATAAACAAAGTTCAATTATGTGCAATATCAATAATACTAGGAGATAAAAAAATATATTTGATATCAATATAATATTTCGCCAGGTACACATGTTACGAAATAACAATGGAAATATTTATTTGAGAAGATTCCTAGACCGTTCATTATAGCTGGAGATGTAAATGCGCATCACCATTCCTGGGGATGTAACTATAATGATAATTACGGAATGAATTTAATGGAATCAATAGAAGAATGTAATTTATTTGTATTAAATAATGGTTCTCCAACTCTGGTGTTTAAAAACACTAAAACTGTAGTTGATGTTACTGTGTGCTCTTCTGAAATATTCCATTTAATGACATGGAAAGTAATAGAGGAAAACTTAGGCTCTGATCATTATCCTATTTATTTTTATTTGGATATAGTGAGGAGTAACAGGATATTGATTCCCAATAGAAAATGGAATTGTGGTAAAGCTGATTGGCAAAAATATAAAATGTTTGAACATGAAATTTTATCTTTGGGCAATAATTTAGATAGTAATATTTATGAAAAATTCATAATACTACGAAACTTTGTATTTGTATAAATCAAACTGCGGAAAAATGTATACCAATAAATAAAATTTTAACAACATCTCAAGTGAGGAAACCAGTGTGGTGAGATGAAGATTGTTTTAAACTGGTAGAAGAACGAAGAAAAGCAGAAAAGAACTTCAGAAGAAATTCGAGTTTAGAAAATTTTCTTCAGTGTAATAAAATTAAAGCTAATGTTCGGAAAGAACTAAAAATAAAGAAAAGAGAAAGTTGGTGTAAATTTGTCAACAATCTAAATCCTAATACCTCATCTAAAATTATTTTTAAAATGGTTAAAGCAATGAACAATTATATTTCGCAGAATGAGAAGAATTCAGACTCGATTAATGATAAAGTAGTGAAAGAAGTAGTTGATAATATTGCGCCCTTTGGAGTGGGTGATGATATTGGTAAATATCTTAAAGGAAATAGAGCAATAGGTTCGGTAGAAGAGTCATGAATTAGATCATTTTCATTATGGGAATTAGAAAAATCTTGGATTAAAATCAAAGATACTGCTCCAGGATTAGACAACATCCATTATTCTATGTTAAAAAACCTTCCACAGTCCGGAAAAGAAATTCTACTCAAAATTATTAATAAGTGTTGGCTGTCACCGAATGAAATTCCTGATTGGAATAAATATCGAATTATTTTAATTAACTAGTTGGTATTGGTATTTTTCCTTGAGGCAAGTTACATGAACTTCCTGATATGTGTGAATAATCGATTTTATGAGTGATTAAAAGTATTCCGATGGGATTCATTACACATAATTGAAAACGAAAGAACAACTTGTATTTTCTAAAAGCAAATTTTCAAAAATCAACAATTTTTATATTTCAACCAGTTTTCGTAGAACTTTAATGATTTAGTATGTTCATTAAGACTAAGTACTTTATCGCTATAACAAGTAAATCATCTAATTTTAATTTTAACTAGCTGTAAGTGGAATTCTGTCTTGAGGCAATTATGGCATCGTGCCTTAAGGCAAATTGCTGGAACTTCCCGTTGAATACTGAATGTTTTCAAATAGATTATTATAAATATTGTATCATTGTCTAATATAAAATAATAAAATAAAATCTGAAATATTTTCGATATACAAAAAACTAAAAAAAAAAAAAAAATGGAACAAATTTTTTTTTCCAAAATCAATTATTTTGTTAAGACAAGCAGAAAGTTCTTTGAATCATTTAAATCGGACGCTTTGTTCTCTCAAAAACTGCCATTTTTTACATATTTAGCTCCGTATCTTCGAAATGGCTGGGCCTGCCTTTGCCAAAAACTAATAAACACTTCTCCCAATCGTTACTAATTGAATGTTTTTTAGATCATTCAAATCGGATACTCCGTTCTCTCAAAAATTCGATTTCTATTTTCTGCACTCTTTGCTCCGTATCTCCGAAACGGCTGGACCTGCCTTTGCCAAAAACTAATCAGCTCTTTTCCCTATCAATAGGAATCGAATGTTTTTTGAACCATTCAAATCGGTTGATCCGTGCGTCCTAAAACGTGACTGGAAATTTGTATCCATACATACATACACGCACACACACACACACATCCATTTTTTCTGAGGTATGCCAAAACGTTCAGAAACCTTCAAAACGTCGAGAAATGTAAAAATTTTCAATTCCGATTTTCGGCCCATTACAATAACTTACCCTACGGGAAGTTAAAAAGAAGAGCAATAATTCTGATGATAGCAATGCATATAGACCAATTACTTTGGCTTCATGTATTGCTAAAATAAAAGATAGGATGATAAAAAGAAGAGTCGAGTAGTGGATTGAAAAAAATCAGTTACTGCCCAAAAGCCAATTTGGCTTTAGAGAAGGATTAAGCACGCAAGATAGTCTAAGTATATTTTCTACAGACATACATCTAGCCTTTTCAAGAAACACTTATGTCGTTGCACTGTTTTGCGATATAAAGGGTGCATACGATAATGTGGTGCCGGGAAAATTAGCAGAAAGTCTTGTACATGCTGGCTTACCAGAAAAATTGATCAATGCTATGATTTATTCTACCTTTAATAGAGAAATCAAAGTTAAAATAAATGAAAATGCAAGGATTGGAAGAGTTCTTCGACAGGGTCTACCTCAAGGAGCTATCCTTAGTCCCTTATTATATGCTCTATATGTACGGGATGTAGAAGGTATATGATTGGAAGGTACGAAAATTCTACAATATGCAGATGATTTATTGATTTATATTGAAAAAGATAATTTGAAAGAGGCCATCGATATGATGTCTATGAATTTGGAATTGCTGCATATTTGGTTGAATGAGAAAGGTCTGGAACTATCAGATGAGAAAAGCTCCATAGGAATTTTCACGAGGCATTCCAACAGAAAGTTCCCAGCTTGTATTTCAAGTCCATATAATACGATTAAAATTCATAGCTATAACAAATTCTTAGGTATATACTTTGATCAGAAAATGACTTTTAAATATCATTAACTATATTAAGAAAAGAATTGAAAAAATATCAATCTAATGAGAATAATAAACAGTACTCGGTGCGGTTCCCATCCTATCACATATATTAATTTATATAAAACAAAAATTAGATCAATACTAGAATATGTTAGCATAATTTTTGGACATTCTAATCTGGTAAATGAGCTTGAAAAAATTCAATACAAATGTTTAACATTTTGCGCAGGTATGATGAGATCGACACCAACAAATGTAGCGTTATTAGAAAATGGAGTGATGCCACTAAAAGTCAGATATGAATGGTTGAGTGACAAATATATGTGGAAAAAAATTAATTTTAATTCATCTGAAATATATGACAGAATTAGTGATTTAAATAATAAATACGAATGTAATATTTATTGGCTGAATAAAAAAATACCTATTATTATTCAGAGTTTTAGAGAAGTAATTAAATATCACGAAAGTATGTATTCATTCAGCATTTACCCTTATTATAATAAAAATATATTTTGACGGTTATATATTTGATAATATTATAAATATTGATATATTAAAATCTACGGGTAAAAATCCAAAATGAGAAATGCTATGTACACATATATATCTACTGAAATATATTTATTTATTATTATTATTATTATTATTAAAATCTATTAATAATAATTCAGATGTAAAAAGTTATATTTACGGATGGATCGAAGAATATGCACAATGTAGATTTTGCTATATATATATAAAGTAGTGATGTGCCGACTCGAAAATTTCCTGATTCGAGTGATTCGAATCAGAAAAAAACCTGATTCGAATCATGATTCGAATCAATTCGAATCAAGTTCATATATGAACAATTATAATTTAAGACAATAAATAATATCACTTTAATAATTTTATAAGTAAATTTATTAATTTAGTAAGCAATTAATTCCAAAAAGTGCAGAGATTAATACATTTATATTAATATATATAATAATAAACTTGCTATAAATATAACTAATGACTACAAATATTTTTCTGAATAATAAGAATTAAGGAATAATAGTTGATTTAATTTATTTGGTTGTAACCTATTCCGTCGTTGATTAGTCAACATGCCAGCCTTGGAAAATAAGCGCTCTGACGGAACGGATGTTGCCGGTATACATAAATATTTTTTCGCCATTTTATATAAAGCAGGATATATGTTTTTTCTTTCCTCCCAAAACTGAACAGGATCTTGCTTTCTATTCAAATATGGCAAATTTATATATTCTTGCAATAATCTTTCTGGAAGAGAGATTGAAGTTTGTTCTATTGTCTGAACCACACGCATATCAAAATTTTCCCAGATTTCATCATCTATATTATGGTTTGACGGTACTGATAATGGTTCATTATTTTCGGCCTCTTCAATATGTTCTGCCGTAGTCATTTCTTTTACTTCATTTAAAACCAAAGCCATTGCTTTATCCGCACAACTCTCTAATCCAAATGCTTTTTTCTTATATCTGGGGTCAAGAATTGTTGCTTTTGCTGTAATTTCATCATTTTCTAAATAACCAAATCTTTGACTTATATTTCTCAACAAGATTTGTTGCAAATTCTTCCCAGCATTAGTTGTTGGCGTTCTTTTATTTATAGAATTTTTTACCCCTTGAATTATAGGTATTACACTGGATAAGGTGGGATAAAATTCACCTGACAATGTTTTGGTTACAATTTCCAGTGGCTGTAGAATTTTCACACAATCTTCTAAAATAGCCCACTCAGCAAAACTCAGGTTTGGTGGAGGAGGATCTATTAAAGGCAAAGCTGCACATAGTGCAACTTTAACCCTCAATAACTTTTCGAACATATAAAAAGTAGAATTCCATCTAGTTGGTATATCTTGTGATAAAGTAATAACATCTAAGTTCATTTGCTTTTGTAATCCTTGCAGAATACCTGACGATTTCACACTATTCACACTATTCACTAGCTTTTGTGATTGCGATAAGAAGTTCACAATTTTCTTTGTCTTTATCTAAACAATTTTTAACAACTAAATTTAATGTGTGAGCTACGCACGATAAATTTTTTTTATTCAAAAATAAAGTAATAGCTTTCTTCATATTCGGCGCATTATCAGTCACAACAATATCAACTTTATCAAATATTTGCCATTCAATTAACACAGATTTCAAACCATTAGAAATATTTTGTGACGTGTGATTTTCTCTGAGTTCTATTGTTGCTATGACTAATGAATTTAATTTGCTATCTTTAATAAAATGAGCAGTTGCGCTAAGAAAACTTTTCTGGCTATCGCTACTCCATATATCAGTCGTAATTGCAATGTTTTCGACAAATGTAAGTTTTGCCTTTGCTTCCGCACTATGCATTTCATATTTTTCCTCTAACATACGCGTGAGTACTTTTCTGGAAGGTAACACATAATCTGAATTTAGAATTCGCGAATACTTTTTAAATCCATCATTTTCCACTATCTGTATCGGTTGCATATCTAAAATAATCATGTTCATTAAAGCATCATCGCCAGCTTTTTGATTAATTTTACCAGGAATAGTAAGCCGCATTTGTTTCAAACGTTTTGCAGGAGCCTCAGTACTCAAAATTGGTTGTGAGACATTTGGCACTACAGGTTGCGTTATAAGATTAACCACATTCACAGCAGATCTCACATTTTGAAATGTCACTGGATTAGCTGCTACAGCTTCACTATATTCAATAATATGTTTGTTTTTTAAATGATTAACGAGAGTGGTTGTACTTCCAGATTTACAATAGCTTAATGAGCACAATTTACACACCAGTTTATTATTATCAGCATTAATTGTGAAAAACTGCCAAGCGACGCTTGATTTAGTGGGAGGCATTTTTAATAATTATAATTAGCCAGTAAAAAACAAAATCTATGTGAAAATCGGGAAAAGCAAACACACACTGACTCAATAAAGTAACGATTGTAAACACAAATTACTATCGATTAAAATATATTACAAAAATTATTAAATAATATTTAATAGACGGTCAAATAAATTTTCAAATGAATTTACAGTAAAATATAACCAAACACTTCTCTTTCACTAAAGCATATAAAACAATATTCTTAATCTTACGTTGAACGAATGCATGTTTATATTATTGATTGTTTAGATCTAATCTAAACAGGGGGCTGAATCTAACGTCTTATGAATGACTTAAAAATCAATCCACTACTGTAAAGATTGATAATATTTCATTTGTGTGAATTTGCCACTTACATAATTAAAATATGATAATTTTGTATGTGTATGAAACTCGTTGTGTAGTTGATAAAATGTTATAATATTTAAAATCTAAAACGCGTACTTATTATTATCTAAATGAGTTTTTTGTATTTCATGAACAAATTGGCTCTCAGCGCTTAGTCAAAAATAAACAAACACGCAAGTCGATAAGTCGATACGCTAAGACACAGACACATGTTTCGAACTCATATCGTTCAAGCCGCTTGAACTCGGGATGATTCGGTTTGAGTCATATAAACTCGTATGAATTCATAGCGACTTGAAGTCGGGATAAGTCGGTTTGAGTCATAGGAACTCGGATAAATTCATACCGACTTGAAGTCGGGATAAGTCGGTTTGAGTCATAGGAACTCGAATCAATTCATAACGACTTGAAGTCGGGATAAGTCGGTTTGAGTCATAGGAACTCGAATCAATTCATAACGACTTGAAGTCGGGATAAGTCGGTTTGAGTCATAGGAACTCGGATGAATTCATATCGACTTGAATGAGGCTAAAGTCATATAAATTGGAGTCGGGTGATACATTTAAGCGTATTAAAGGCGGGTGACTCGCATGATTTAATTCAAGATTTATTTTTTATATTTATTATTAATATTTTTTATATTTATTATTATTATTATTTATATTATTATAATATTGAATTAAATTAAAACATTTTTTTTATATTTATGAAAATTTGTGTTCACACATGTTTTATCACAGTAAATATTTCGCGGCTTGATACGAGTTGATTCGAATCAAGTAAAATCTGATTCGAATCAAGTCGTTAAAGGCTTGATTCGAATGATTCGAATCACTTGATTCGACTTGGCACATCACTAATATAAAGAAACCGATCAAACAAATGACTGTTACAAACTACTAGGGTGTGTTTCTATCTATACAGCGGAGTTATTTGCGATTAAGGAGGCCATAAGAAAAGCTCAAGAACAGAATTATAATAAAACAATTATATTGATATTTTGCAGGATTTGGAATACATTAAAGAAAATGGAAAGGATATAAGAATAGGATGGGTAAAAGGGCACTCCGGAATTGCAGGAAACGAAAAAGCTGATGAATTAGCCAAATATGCTTCCTTAAAGGGAATGGAATATAATCAAGTATTAAATGAAAAATAAAGCAGTGAATACATGGAAAATGGATAGGCAAATAACATCAAGATATAAAGGAAAATATTATGAAGGGGTTAACGACTTTGTTAAAAAGGAACCCTGGTTTCATCAATTCAAAAATGAAGATAGATACTTTATAAGTACGATGAATAGAATTAGATGTAACCATGGACATTTTCCAGAACACCTGTTCAAAATCAAGATGAGAGAGTCAGCTATTTGTGACTGTGGGAAGGCTGTGGGATCTTTAGAGCATATAATTTTAACCTGAAGCAGATATCAAGAAAATAGGGATTATTTATTATATGAATTATATAGATTGAAAAATTTAGTTAAACCATTTAATTTATTTAATTTAGTGTCAAATATTGATTATTATAAAATTATATATAATGTTTTAGTTAAATGTAAAATTAGAATATAAATGTACGAAACTTTGTATATGGCTAGTTTGTAAATAAGAGGCCAAATAAAATAAAAAAGCGAACAAAAACCTGGACGTATCGTTTTAGAAAAGGTCTGGGTATCAATACCAATATGATTTGGAAAGCTTCCATAACCAGTTACAAAGACTGATGAAATGAGGAATCGACAGAGCCATCAAATATGTATTAAAATATGAAAGAGAAGTTTTTCATCGTAAAATAGTAGACTTTCTGGTCATTCACTATCCATGAGACAGAGAGAGAGATACACAGCAACCACGCAAGAAATAGAACAGTATGCATAATGCATTCCTCACCCGCTAGGGTTCCTGCAATTTAAGGTCCGAGTCGAAGGCTAAAAGGAGATCATTAAGTAGCATATAGTCCTGTAAGACCCATTCCATGGGCGATTGCCCTGGTATACGTTAGTGTTAGTTGTGTGTGTCCTGTGTCAGAAGAGTAGAACTCGTTCCAGCAAAGATCAGATTGTTCTTTATACTACCAATTCCCTCGGTTGCTCGTAGAACAGAAGACTTGTAGATACTTTCCACATAGCACGCGTCGAACTTCAATCGCACCGCGTTGACCCATTTTGAACCTGCTATGTTAACATCGATCAAAACTGGCACATTATCTGACCGTCAGTGGGTCAAACTAAAATTTGACCTTTCTGGTTCAACCAGGTTTAACAAATAGGTTAATTTTTGGTCCAGACTTATGACGCATGCGCGATAGATAGTGCGCATGCGCAGTAGCTAGTGCGCGTACGTAGATCGAGCAAGATGCCAGGTAGATGAGCGCCGTTTTAAGTTCGCGCTTGGCTTGGTTTATGACGTGATTTTGTTTTTTTCCTCAAAGAAACTTTATCTAAATATGCCGACTAGAAACTTTCGCAAATCTATAGGCTTTGTGACAGACCGTCATTTTAGAAGGAGGGTGAAGTGGGAATTCGAAAGAATAACCGCGGAAAAAAAGAAAGAATTGACTCTTTCCAGTATAAATG